GGTGGTGCATTTAGTGTTTCTAGTCATTAACCGAGAAAACCCATAAAAGATTTTAATACCGTGTTTTTATTCGTTTGTTTCTAATCTCTTTAAAAAAATGTTTCTTTAGACGTATCATTTTTAATTACGGTTTTTTAACTTTTTTAATTTTGCGAACAGCAAGTAATTCAAATCCGGATTGCGCTCTTCTACCTAAAAAATGAATCTGTGCGAAATATCCTAATGGGGTCCGATCCGCATTCTTCAATATACACTAGCGCCCGATCGATGGATGGGCTATCGTATTTTGTTTCGTTTGAAAACGCCACAGACTTTTAAGAAATTCTTTAAACTTGATTACAAAAGAATACTTTGATGTTTTTCTAAAACAAAATCAGATACGAAAAACGAGACTTTTAAAACAGTGGCGGTCTCCTAAAAATGGAAAAATGTCCAAAGAAACTGGTATCATAATTTAAAATGCTATTTATTTTCAAATATATTGTATATCACGTACATGTTTGCAAAATACCACCTGAGCGATTTTATACATATTATGGTATTCCATTAGAAAAGTGACATACATTTACTATTCATGAAAAATTTGATTTTAAATACGGACCTGTAATAACATTTTCGAGTACTTATAATAGATGAAAATAATTAATAATGAATTTATCAAAAATTTGTGTTAGATTAAATATTCTTATTTATAAGTAGTAAAAACTAGAATGAAGATTTATAATACTTTGCATTCTTGATTATACTGTTTACAGTTTAACAGACCTACTTAATCCACTTAAGTGAGACAAATCATAAATCTCGCATGCGAATCTATATTCGTGACTCGAGAATACTACCCCTGAGCTGAGAATAGTAAATTCATTGTATGGAACTCTCTAAAATCTTTCATGTTCCTAGTTAGAAACCCTAAGATCCGAAAAAAGATGATACCGTCTTATCAATATGAGCACCAAATGTTAGCTTGGGATCGTAGTAGACACCGAGATCTTTTATCAACTCAGGCCTTGATAGCGTAATATCCTGAAGTATAAAATTAAATTGCATGATTGACTCTTTTCTAGAGAACGTCATTATGTGTCATTTATTGGCATCTAGAGACAATTTGTTGGCAGCGCACCAATCATTTAATAAGTTTATATTACGTTGTAGAGAGTGGCAATCATTCAAGTTATTAATGGTGTGGAATAGTTTTAAATCATCAGCATATAGTAAATATTTTACATCAATATTAGTTATGATATCGTTAACAAAAATGTTGAAGAGAAGAGGACCCAGAATAGAGCCTTGAGGAACTCCGAAAGTTTGAGACGTGATTTGAGACCCAGACATTGAACAAATTGAGTGCGTCCAGATATAGGATTTTATGACAGTTATTAGCTCTTCAGACATTCCGACCTGGTGAAGTTTTGTTAGTAGTATGTTATGATCCAACCTATAAAAGGCTTTGGAAAAATTAGTGTGGATTACGTCTACCTTATTCTTTTTGTCAATTGACTCACACAAGAACTGTGTAAAACAGAAGAGATTTTTTATAGTAGAACGTCCTCTGATAAATCCATGTTGTTCAGGTATAATAACAATAACATTACGGAGCTTCAACGAGAGATGATCATGCAAAATAATCTCAAATGTTTTTAAGTTGCACAGAATAATAATAGGCCTATAATAGCATATTTCGTTCCGATTACCTTTTTTAAAAAGAGGGCATATTCGAGAAAGCTTCCAGATAGTTGGGAACGTACCCGATGATAGCATTAAGTTGAAGATATATTGTAAATGTTTACAAAAAAATTGAGCACAGTCTTTAATTAGAAAGGAAGGAATCAGATCAGAACCGGTCGTTATTTTTGACTTCATTTTTTTTAGGGCAATCAGAATTTTTTTCTTTAAAAAAGGGCGTAGTTACTACAGATTTGAGCAAGATGTAAAGTTGGAGGCAGTGTATGGTCCTAAAGCAATATAATTTTTAGCAGAAAACCTGGCAAAGTGTTCAACTATGTCCTGGGCATTTTCCGATTTTACATTGTTATATGACATATTGGCTGATATTGAAGATGACACGCCTTTTTTTGAGTTAATAAATGACGAAAACTGATTGGGATTTGTTTTAGTGTTTGCTTCGGAGGTCCTCAAATAGTTTTTGTAAGCAGAATCAGACAGATACTTAACTTCAGCTCTTAGGTTACCAAATTGGATGTAGTGTTCAAGATATTTATTTTTTTGTATTTATTCCATGCTTTAGACTTCAAATTGAGTTTTTTAATTATTTTAGAGTTGAACCGGTCAGGATAATGATTTTTAGGTGGTATCTTTAAAGGAACGTTTTTATCGAAGATATTATAGAGTCTCTCGTAAAACATTTTAATTGCTTCATCCACGCTCCTCAACTGATATAGGTGGGTCCAATCAATTATGAGTAGATCTTGATATAAACTGGGAAAATAAGTTTTTTTAAAATTATATTCTTAAGAACATAATGAAGATAATGTCTTTAGAGTAGTCTTAATGGAAATATCAACAGAAAGGGCAGAGTGTTGTGGATCCAGTCGCAAGAGTTCAGATGTTTTAGATACAGTGCATGCATCAATGTTTGAGAGAACGAGGTCAAGGATTCTGTTATTGCAGTTAAGTATTGTACTATGTTGAGACATATTAAAAAGTTCATTAAAGATCTCTTATTAAACCTGCTCCAAAATCGGCATATCTACTTAAATTGAAATCGCAAACAATTATAACATTTTGGTCGTAAACTAGGTGTATGGACATGAAAATATCGACAAAAAAATCATATTTATAAGCAGATATGAGCGGAGAAAAGTAGATGCAGAAAACATAAACATTTACTTTACCCAATTTCAGTTTTATACATGTTACATCAATAGACATAAGAAGTTCAAAAATATGTTCGGTGTCAAAGATACTGGACAAAAATTGTTTTTTACAGCAATTAAGCTACCTCCACCTAGTGTTGCAGACATTTTACGTGTAGTTGGTAAATATACCATTGTAACGGACGTTTTAATTCAGTCTCAATATACCTAATAACATCATTTGTATTACCGGAGTTAACAACAGTACCATAGCAACCCACATCCGCCAAATCATTTATTTCCAAATTGTTTTTAGCTAAAAAGTCCAATATTGCATTTTTCTAGACCCACATTGGTATTAGCTTATCTACGCACAGGTTACAAAACGAGAAAGTATGCTATTGCCTTTAACTGAACGAATATATTTCATATCCATTCTAGGTAGTAAGAACACTGCAAAAAAATTAAATCCACCAATCACAATTCATATTTTGATCAGCCAAGCCAAACCCTAAAGGTCCGTCCTGACATCGTAAGGTCATCTTTCTACAGGGTGTAACTGATCAAATATTGTTCACAAAAATGGCCAGCAGTTTTTTTGATCTTATTAAATTTTATATTTTTTCTGTTCCTAACTTTTTCCCTAAAGTTACCTAATAGTTATTTAGATATAGCGGGCAAAATTTTATATCTAATTTTAATTTTATGTCTCTCAGGAACAAGAATTCTACAGAGAAATACATTTTATAAAACAATTTTTGTGTTTAGAAACGTAACATCTAAAAATATTTGTAATCAAAACTACACCGATTTCTATTTACTTTACAATTTTTTTTTTTCGACAATAAGTAAGCAACTTTATGTGTGTACAAATATAAATAGTTTCAAGTAACTTTGGGTTTACAAAGGTAAAATAAAATTAGTTAGGTTAATCAAAATGTGACATCAATCTTTTGATATATTCTTAATATCAGAAAAAAAAAATTTTTTAAATGTGTTGCCACGCCATTGCTTAAATGTTTTAAAATATTTCGATAAGATTAACGTGATTAAATGTTTCGTAACGGGATATCTGCAACTTTTATTACGAGCTTTGATAAAGGATGAAGTTGTCCTTTGTTTGTGTAAAGATGATCCAGCCGCAAAAAATCCAGACACAGCAAAACGTGGCCCTAGTTGATGATAAAAAAGAGCGTTGTAACTAATAGCAACAGGATATTAAAGTCGAGCACTTTTTGTTTTTGTTTTTTAAAAATTACAAAAAAAGGTTTGATTTTTAAACGATTAAAGAAATGTGAAATACAGAATTATACGATAAAAACAGAATATTAAAGAAAAAATAACTATTAAATGTCAAACAATGGAATTAATACCAACACATGACGCTAGTGACCTGTAAGGATATGTGGATCTACCTAGACCGTCAGATAATGACCGATTTAGGTGCCCCATTTTCGCATACAAGCCTTGAAGAGGGTTGAAAAGTACATCGATGTTGAGTAGAATAAAAGAAAATTTACGAGTGGCTCTTGGGGATAACACATGGAAAATTCGATTTTCCTAATCAGACCCCAAAAAAATACTTATACATTCGGGTCATTCAAGAAAATATGTTTTTTGGACTAGTGATGACGTACTTTTTCATACATTCGATGAGCTTGTGTGGAAAAATCGGGCAAAATCTCGATTTTCCCTTAGAAGATCACGCTATTATTTTAACCCTTTAGCCACCTGCAACATTAAAGCCTTTAGTTTTCTGAAGACTAGTTCTATTAATTAATCATATAGTGAAAACGGCTTGCGTGGAAAAAATGGCAAAAAATAATATTTTGTTTTTGTTAGGGAAAATAGAATTTTCCATGTGTTATCCCCAGCAGCCACTCGTAAATTTTCTTTCATTCTACTTAAAATCGATGTACTTTTCAACCCTCTTCGAGGCTTGTATGCGAAAATGGGGCACCTAAACCTGTCACTATCTGACGAACTATATCGGGTCAGCATCACATAGAAAACTTGTCATGTTTATTTTAAAGAAAAAACGTTATTGTTCGTAAAAAATTCTACTTGATTTGGAACTCCATAATAAAATATTAAATTTGTAAATTTTATAAATTTCCAAAATACACTTTAGAATTGATTGTAAATAGAAAACAATTAAAAACAAGTACATTTATTATTTAAAATTGCTCTATATTAAACAAGAAGGTAGTAAGAAGGTACTTATAGAGGTAATATCACGTGATAATAGTTACGCCACTTTCGCCATATTAATAGGAAATTTTAACATTATTATGCATATGTGTCATTTTACATTATAGTATAATAATGTATCTTTAAAAACAATATAAAAATTTAATAATTAAAATAGGAATGTTTTGTGTAATAATATAGTAGGCCAAGGGCCATTTGGGACTACATTCTCTATTGATAAGGCCTTAAGAGTAGACCAACACCAGTTTTCCTTAAACATTTGGGCTGGTATTATGTAAAACCATATTATTGATCCTTATCTCTAGCAGCAACGTTAAAATTATTCTTCCTCAACTTTGTGGCAAATGTGGTAACCGAGCAGTTAAAGAATACCATACGAAACATCAGATATTGAATGTGACTTTAGCACGACGACGTTCCTACTCACTTTGCTGTTATGATACGCCGGCAACTTAATCAAGCGTTTTTAGACTCATGGATTACATGAAGAAGTCCAATACTTTGAGCGGCAAAATTCACTGAACTTTTTTCTCTGGAGCCATGTGAATAATTTGATTTTCCCGGGAGCAGTCGACAACTGGGAGAGATTTCTGCAAAGGGAATGTCCAAATTTACCAAAGTACAAGAGATGCCGTATTTATTTGTGCATTGAAGATGAAGTAAATTTTATTGATCAAAATTACTGTTTATTTTTTCTTCCAATAACAATTCAACCAAATATAGTAAAGTAAACAATTTGGTTAAACTTAAACTATTCAAACATAGGTATCTACCTACATTATTTGTTTAATAATTTATCTTCAGTTTCAGAAAGTCTTTTTGACAGTTCATCCACCAGATTTTGTGAACTGGCTGCTAAAATTCTGTTTCCTGTAGAGTGTAAGGGCCCTCCCCTTGGATCAGTACATAATCCACCTGCTTCTCTAACTATCAGCATTCCGGCTGCGATATCCCAAATTTTTATACCGTAATTGTAGAAAGCGTCTGCTCCTCCACAAGCTACCATGCATAAATCCAAAGCTGCTGATCCCAATGCCCTTGTTCTGAGAGAAATAGAAGTGTGATACGTATAAATATTTTTAGGATAGATACCTATAAACAGTGCTGAGAAGATCCAATCATCGGTTCTGCTTTGCTTGTTTGTATTGAAGTCAATAGTAAATAGCTCTCGCAGGAAAAAAAACGGCACAGTATTAATGTTGCTATTTGCAAGTCGAGTTACTGATTGATATTACATTACCGAACCGTAACTGACAAGTCTTTTCCTCTCCTGTACATGTGAATGCCATTTAGTATTCACTACAATACAAGCAAAGCAGGATCAATGGTTTGATCTGCCCAAAACTGTATAAGCTTCTTACACAACAAAACACTTACGAATGTGATCCAGTTATTAATGAAGAAATGAGTTCCACAACTTCTGGAGTAATCTGGTGTACTGGTGCACATCCATAATTTTCTATTATAATAAGTGCCTTTGAAAGTGATGTAGTGTTGGACACCCGAATTTGTTTACCATTTAAAAATGCCCCCTTTCCACTTCTTGCTGTGAATAATTGTTCCAAAATTGGGTTGTAAACTATACCAATTGCTGGTTCCTTGTTTATATATAAAGCGATTGAGATACATGAATGCGGAAAAGAGTGCACGAAGTTCATGGTACCATCTATGGGGTCTATGATCCATGTTGGTGCATCTGTTAGAAGAGTTTCTCCTTGTTTGGCGGCAGATTCTTCAGCTATGAATTTATGATCAGGAAAATTACTGGATAGCCCGCTGATCAGGTAATTTTCTATTTCTGTATCAGTTTTCGTAACCAAATCTGTTGGCGACGTTTTAAATTCTATGTATTTATCTCGGTTGGAATTATTTTCTCTGAGTATCTAAAAAAAAATTAAACCTATTATCAGAACAATTTACAGTAAGTATATGACGTATAATAGGATACTAAAATATAAAAATAAAATATGTTAATCCCTCTACTTATCACATAGAGATCATAATATCAATTATCTATAGCTGCAGGTTTGTTCAAACAACGATATTTAAACCACACATAAACCAGTCCACAACTGATTGTTGAAAATCTGTCGACAACTAGTAATTGACAACCTGTCGAGAATTGGGACTCAACTCGGAATTCGTTTATGTTGAAACACATTTTTAATAAATTCAGCAGACGCACTACAAAAAAGGGCTCCATATACATACCAGTATAATTGAACGGTATACACGTGCAAGTTTTTTCCACAAGGATCCTTGAATATCTGCGTCGACAACACACGTATAAATATACTCGCACATTGCGCCAGTTTAAAGTTAAACCATTTTATTGGCAGACGACGACGACTCGTTGGCCACTGTTGACTTTTTTCTTCTCCTTCCTGTGATTCGTTCGGGAGGCGTTAAGTTTTTTAACCGCTTTATTACGATCTGCTTTTGAATCCATTTCCCCTAATTTTTTTTAATTTTTTTTAAATACTGCTTCCCTCTTCCCCTATATTGGCACTCTTTGCTTTTAATGCACCACATACATGAATTATGTTCATAAATAGAAATAATTTTTTCGAAACATTCTCAAAATTGTAAATCGCACTACTCTAGGGATGATCAAATTTTAAATGTTTCAAGCTGTTAAGGCGGGTATAGATCTGAGCATGTACGCGTATGAGGCAAGCCGAGGCCGAACCAAATTCCTCGTGTGACACATTTTGTATACACCAATTTTATCTGACACATTAAAGAAAAAAGGAGAGAAAGGAATTGACTGCCGATTTCCTGCTAAGGATATTCTTTTTTATGGTGGTTTTATGGTTTTGCTCTCTTAAGATATCACGCTGAATATTTAAATCCAGAAGCAAAACATTTTCCTGGTTCCACTCCATGCAAAATAAATCCCAAAAACTCCCTATAATCTCTACGGTGCTGTATGGTACCAGTTCCCGTCCAGACTGAGCACGTACTGCACATTGACTCCCTTTGATGTACCGCCAACAAACGGATCGGAGCGAGGCCGTACGGCGCACACAACGAGGCAATTTGCCGCGCCTCGGAAGCCCGTCCACATCTGCATGCTCATGCGTCTTTAGCTTGTCTAATAAGCGTACGTGCTCAGATCTGTACCCCCCTTTACATACACACGCTTAATTAAACTTATACAAGTCCGACATGCACAAGTAAAAATATAGAATTTCCACAAGTCTCATGTCGCTTGTGCAATTAACGTACTTATGCAAATATTACCAAACATTAGTTCTAGTATACTTATGCAATAAACTTGTACATATCGTTCAAGTATACTGGTACGTTTATGGGGGCCTTTAAGTAACGCACCTAATGTAAGGTTAGGTGGGGTAAGAGGGAACGGGTTTTGGTTGAGATGGCTTAAATTGTTTAACATATATTTGTCAAAACATTAAACCACTTAAATTTGATCTTTGTATTGCTTTAAGGACACAATAAAACCTCGTACCTTAAGTTAATTACTTTTTTTTAGTGTAAAGAAATATTTTTTTAATGACATATGTTTCCACTTTCCTGGGTAATCGGGGTGATAATATTGGCAAAGCATAACTATCTAAACGTGAGAATTGTTAAACAATAAAACAACTAGCCAACAATTTTTTTTTATTTATTGCCTCAACTGAGGTTAAAAAACAAATAAAAAAAATTAAAATATGGTCATTTTCTCTTTCTAATACGTTTGGTAGCAATATTTAAACGCAAATAAACAGTTAATTCACGTTGATTCCAGTGAACTCCATGCCAAAACAAAAAATGGTATCACATCAGTCAACAGTTGGTTGAGACAAAACCAACAAGTGAGAAATTAGTCGTGGCAAGCATGAACATGCAACGAACGTATACCGAGGTACATACGGTGAATACGCAATATTTTAGGAAAATTTCGTAAAAAAAATTATAGAGAATAATATTAGAAATAACTTTTATTTTAAGAATTTTCTCCTACAAACGTAAATAACAAATATATTTAATAAAATATAAAAACAACCCCCTATAAAGTACCCCCCAGATGTTTTGACTATGCCCAAATTCTAATTAGTTTACCTCAGGTCAGAATTAAGCAAAATTAAAAGTTTTTCTTTATCCGTTTTTGAGTTTTCTTCAAAATTTAAAATTTACACTTTTTTACAAATATCTGGAATAAATTTGCTAAACTAAATAATTCAACATAATATTTTATGTAATATTTTAATAAACATTACATGCAATTCCTAACTTCATTCTCGAAAATGTAAATATAACATTAAACTAGACACGTACTGACCTTAGCCGATTAATATAAAAATCGGCTAGGTCAACAATAATGGCACTCTTAGTTTGAGTCTCATCATCGTCTCACATCTCATTAGAAGAAGTGACGTGACGTGCCCTCGTCGTCTTTAGATGTTTAGCCCTTGGTAAGGCCCTTTTTATATTATTTTAATATTTTGGATATATTTTTTTATCTTTAATAAATTATTAATTGTTGTTTTGCTCTTTTATTTTCCCGAGTCAGGTAGCACATAGAGTCACTATTTAAAGTGACTCCCTCACGATCAAAATGCCCGTGACACTACTTTAGGAACAACACTGTTAATTAGAACCCAAGAGTGAATGGTCGAGGAATCCTACCAAGCCATCAGAATTAATTTTATCAAATTAAATTAAATAAAAAAATCCCGGCCAACGGTGATTATTATTATTTGCCGTTGGGCTCCGGGGCGACTTAAAGATGATTGATGGTGCGATTTGACTTGCAGGTGAGGAAAACCCGGAAAACCTCACCCACCATCATCGAGATGGTAACGCATGGCGATTTTATAATCTGCACGTCATATCAACAGAAATTGAATTTCTATTAATACAGCAACCATCAAATCCTATAAGGAACCATGCAATTTAATTAAAAATCCACGTTTTGGTGTAAGATTCATAGCTTTTCTATCTCTGACCGCTACTCTACCGACTCGATAATGAACAAAAAATAGGAAGACCAAACTTGATTGACAAATACAAATTAGACCTGTGAGAGATACAAATAATATAATAATTATTACAATCACAAAATTATTTAGTTTATTGCATTTTGTGCATGTTTTGACAATTCGTTTCGATTAAGAACCAGGAATATACCTTTCTGAAGCACTAAAGGTTTTTTACCTACAACTGTATACAACTGTAGACCTATATTCTGTCATGGTGAACGCCCAATATTTTGGTCACGAGCCGCCACTGGAAAGGTGAGAATCGCACAGCAGAAGTTTGTTGGAATACGAATTTTAGACTGTACAGAATCCCGACTTACGCTAACTGATTTGGTTAAAGTTGAAAAAAAACTAACTTTTTTAATTATATTTGTGTACATGAAATAAAGAATAGGTGCTACTTGAGCTTATTTGTTGTAAAAATCTGTACCTTAAATTGAACACATATATTTGCTGCTGATTAACTTTATCCTTAGAGATTTCCAAAATTTTAAAATTGTAATAAAGTTCATTGTAATAGATGTTAGAAAATTATAGGAAGGATGATCTAAAGAAAATATGAACAAATGAAGAAGTTACTTAATAGAAGAAAAGAAAAGTAAGAATTGGCGTTTTAATAATTCCTAGATAAAAATGACCTTAAAAACTGGTGTTATTTTTTCGTATGTATTTTAATAAAAATAACATTGTACTTACTTGACCAGCGGATTTGGTTAAATTTAAAACCGTATCATAATATAAATCTAAATTACTTAAAGACATATTTTAAATATCTGTTACTTTTTAGTGAAGAAAAAAAAACAACTATTCTTAATACTGATAATTTTTTATATGACTATTTTTACATAACTTTATGTTATCTAAATTAACTTAAAAGTTGCAGAATGTGCAAATAATTTTAATCTTATTAACATTGTTATCGAAAAAACAATTCAGTGATGAGTAAATATTTAAAAAAGTAAGATAATATTAAACAAATACTTATATTATTTTTGTTGTAGTTTAATATTTGCTTATTTTTCCTAAATTTATCATAGAAAATTATTTTCCCGTACACAGCTTCGCTGCCATACAAAATATGTTAAACCGCATTTTTCTCGAAATTATTTTTTGTTTTTCTTGTCAAGTTAAACTGTTTTATGGAAACAATTAATATTTGGAGCATTGGAGTGCACAATTTCATGTTGTTGGAGACTTTAAGTGGATTCTTCTAAGTACGATTATTCATTGTAGTGAAAACTTATGGAACCATTTCTATTAATGTACCAGAAATTGACATAATCAAAAATAAACTGTTTTATGAAATGACCTATGTAAAAAAATATTACTGAAAGGATTTTTGAATGGTCCGAAAAAAAGTTGGAAGTATCATTGAAATTATTGTAAATTTTAATCCACTTTTCACAGATAATATTAAGTAATATTTCCTTTGACAATTCAAAAAAAAAACTTGAATTTGTCTGTGTCTTGTTGAAACCAACGAAATAACAGAAATATTATTCAAAGTGGTTAATAAAATTAGACTATAGAAAAATTGCAGCTAGGTGTGGAAATCCTAAAAGCTATTTTGATGGTGAAATTCAATATTGATAAAACTTGCCAAGAGTTCTATGAAAACAGAGATTTCTTGAAAAAAAGTTCAAAAATTTGAGAAGTGTCTGTAATATCAAAAATATTTTTTAAGTTCGTACGTTTTTTAAAATGTTAAATTTTTCCATTTCCTCTTGAAAAAAATCTGATCACATTTGGTATGTTAAAAATTTCAGTTTGAGTATCGTTTTCTAGTTACATAGCTTAAAGATAATAAAATTAAGATGGAAACTGTGAGATTTACAATTAATATTGTGACTTATTTTGAGACAAGTATAGATAATGCATACCATAATGGGGATGTGCTGTGAAAATACAGTAAATAAGTTAATTATTATATTGGGAACAATATCAGGTGATGAAGATCAAATGTATTCATGACAAAAACTTACAAAGTTGTACAGTTAACTGTAGTTTAAACTTGTAATTACAAATTAGATGCAAATTAAACTTACTTTAATAGTTACAGAATTTTACCTGGAACTTGGACAATGAAAATAAACAAATAATTTTTTAAGTTTCTTTTATTATTTATATTAAATTATAAAAGTATATCAACTAGTTTATTTAAAAGGATATTTTTGCACAGTTTATGTTAAAACGAGACCGAGGCTGTTGAATGATAATCGGTGATGGATATTAATATGTGTTCAAAATGTTCACCACCCTTCTTTTCATATTTTTGAACAGTTTCTTCTCAGTTTTGTATTAATTTAATGTAACTCCTCCAGTACATAAACATGATGCAAATTATTTTAAATTCAACCATCCACCACATTCCATACTTTTAACAAAATCATTACTTCTGGCCAGTTCCTGCCAACATACCTAAAACAATGATGTTTAGAGTTTAACTTGTAGGAGAGTTAGTCTCCGAAACACTGTTCCTACCTGCTATTTTTTACCAGACTTTATAAAAGGAGTAGAGAGGTTCTCAAATCGTCAGAATATTTTTTTTATGTATGTTCAGTAATAATTATTTACCACTTTGTCCAATTTCTACAATTCTTTCTCTGTTAGAAAGGAGGTACCTCAAGGGTGGTTCTTTTTAAATTTGGTCAAGATCTGATAATGAGATCCATAAAAAGAACAGCACACTTCATTTTTGGAATCTGTTTTTTAAATTTACTTTTACAACTCATATTATTCACTGATGTATTGGGAATTTGTACATCTTCAACATTTGGATAAATTATGTATACAAGCCAAATAGTAGTTTGTGCAAAAAGAGTAAGATGACCAAATTGCACGGAGGCGAAGTGTGATACGTGCAAACCCCTAGAAAATGTATACTATCTTTTTTCTACCAATCATTGAAGAAAATTTACAATATTTTAATAAGTAATTTAGAGGTTATTAACATAAAACAATTTAAAATATATTTTTCACAAAGATTTGAATTTCTAGATTTTACTAATTTATAAAATAAAATAAACTTAAAAAATAATTTTGCTTTAACCCGGATTTGATCCACGGACCTTTCGCACGGGAACTTTTCAGTTATACTTTCGCGCCGACACCTTAAAATTTATTTCCTCTTAACATTTATAACTAAGTTGGTTTTTGTTAATTTTATTACAATTTACCAAAATGTACGGTTTCTTTATAACTATAGCGATGAATATACATTGTGTTACAGCCAAATAAAATAAATTAGGTAGCTCAAGTACTGTGCATATTTATAAAGAAATCTCGAAACACGTCAGTTTTAGGTTATAAAATAACATCTTTCGATGTGAAAATTTCACCCTACCTTCGACCTCCTTCGAGTAACAATTACAACCTTCAAATTTGTAAATACCTCATTTGAAAGGTGCGTTTAAAAAATAAGAGCAAAAAAACTTTTTCATAAGTTGTAATTACAATAGCACTAACCGGGACGCATATTTACACATCCTCCTATATGACGGCACCGGAGTGCTGAAATCTGTTCGCCTTTGTAACCTACAAGTACGCTACAAAAGCTCATTGATTTAGGCACCAATGCATGAGGCCTCTTTTATTGCTGGAATCAGTAAGCAAGCTTATCTGCATTCTATGAAACAATGGCTGTACTTAAACTGCCGTTAAACGGTCGTGTACTAAAATGCCGTCAATAGACATGATGTCGTTTTCAAATGACGCATTTGAAGTGTTTTGGGATTAAAAAAGAAGAAAATATACAAGAATAAAACGAAGCAACGACTTCTCGTAGGGTGGCGGCTTCGCCGCCACCAAAAAATTTTAACCCGTACCTGGCTACGCCTACCGGCATAGACGTCAACGGTCTGGATACAGCTAAAATTGAAAAGTAAAGTCACATATCATAAAATTTGTATGGGTGTCTAAATCAATGAGCTTTTGTAGCGTACTTGTAGGCTACAAAGGCGAACAGGTTTCAGCACTCCGGTGCCGTCATATAGGAGGATGTGTAAATATGCAACCGGGACAGCCACCTTCCATATTTCTATTAATTATTTTTTTTATTTAAGAGGTGGAAATCTTTCAAAGCCTATTTGGGAAGTGAACTCAGACGTTTAGGATTTTATTAAAACAAAAAATATCGCTTGTCACAAAGGCGCCGATACAACTCTTGCGAGTATTGCTTTATTCGTCTCTGACAGTCTATACGTTATCTTCCTTGGTTGTTTCTTTTTCTCTGCACTTCTATATCTTGCCCATCTGTTGAATTTAACAAATATTTGTTTTAATATATCCTCCTCATTACAGTACAGACAATTACTGTCAGGTGGTTTACCAATTTTGTAAGTATAAGCCGTGAAAAATCCGTGTCATATGAACTCCGATACTAGTTTGTTTCCTTGAAATTGCAGTCCAACTAATTACTGATATTTGGAATTAACCTTTTTGTCAGTGTTGCTGTTAAAGCTATCCTGCCAGATATATAGTGTTCTAGATCTTTCAAATATTCTTACTTTTGAATCAGTTGCGTTTTCTGCCGAACTTTGTTATCTACAAGTGTATCCAGAGCGATACATCCAGATACTGTTTTTGCGGTCTTCTCCTCATATCATTCTGTACCATTTTCACTGTACTCTTAACACCAGTTTTTATAAATATTATTTTTTTATTGATGCCGCAAACAGAACAACCATATACATTAAGTGACTTTTGGCTCTGCTTAGTCCTCTTATGCTGGTCAATATTTTTGATAGAGCTTGTCTCTCTATCTTTTCTGCTGTCTTCTAGACATGGTTATTATAAATGCTTCTATCAACATATCATACCTTATGTAGTTAACTGCCTTAACTAGAGTAATCACAGTGTATTCTAACTTGAATTGAATCTCATCTCAAACTTTTTTACCTTTTATAATGACACTTTTGAATTTTTACCCGTTGATGTAAGTGAATTAGTGCCCAATTGGCGTAGTGAATTAATTCCTTTTTTATATTTGTATTTACGACCAGGACAAGGACATCGTCGTAGGCAATTGTGCTACATCTTGCCTGAGGATCCCGTAATACATATCAAAGACCGAACACTGTTGGACTTCCTAGGTCATTTTTATCTCCTGCGCACTCACTTGTAATGTTTTATCTCTCAGGTAGCTTTTTATGATAATAATTATATATTAATTTTTTTTTGTTACCTGTAACTTGCTCGTTATTAAAACTCCAGCCAGCCGTGTTAAATGCATTTCTGACATCTATAAAAATAAGTGTAATCCAGGTATCATTCTCTTCCTTCGCCAGACTTATTACGGTTTCTATAACATCAACTGTTGATCTACCGCTTTTAAATGAAAATTTTAAAATGCCACCCTTTTCCTCTAGCTCTATTTTATCTCTTCTTTTCGTTAAGTATTTAAACACCTTTTTCATTATATGTATAGAGCAAATTATTTAGTAGCCAGTTACCATTTTCAGTATTAAAATAACGTTTGCTCTCTTTCATGTATTATGGAAGTCTTGCAGATCCAACATACCTTTGAATATATTCAGCATTCAACTATTTAAGTACTATGTTCACCGACTCCGTAAAAGTACCATCTAGACCTTGTATTGCCTCATCTTGCCTGTTTTTAGTTTCTCTCAGGTTTCCTTAACTTTAAGATTATTGCTTCAACCGTTAACACCTGTTTATTGTTTACAAAATTTCAAATGCTAATTTTCCAATTTATAAGTGAATTAATAATATAATTTTAGTATCATATGATATTTGAATACTTTTTATGCGAGTGTATTACAATATTTTGTTATGGAACGTATCTTGAGCTCCAAAATTGTATAGGTTGGAGTGCCTGTGCACCAGTGGCTAGCTAGT